GCGGATTTTCATGTAAGCCCGTCGTTTCGAAGAAAGTATGTGCTGCGCTATGAAATGCGTGGCTTGTTGCTCCAGAGGCGTGTTGTGAAAGGCATTCACTGAGCTCGGTCCGCCAGGCGCTGCAAGCGAGTGCCTATGAAAATACGGCTAACATAGCCGTGGTCGTTTAATGATCCGGCATATGACAGTCTGATATCAAAATAAAAGATGAAGGAAGATATCGTAACACGCGCGGCCAAGCACTTCCGTTGCAATGCTGCGGCGACAATTGCCGCGCTAGCGCCCCTTGCGGATCAAGTCGCGTCAGTCGGTCATATGTTCTCCTGTCGCCATACCTTGACTAGTGCACAGATAAGTGGTAAGACAGTCGAATACGCGTAATTGCATGAAAGTCTGGCACGTTCACGCCTTGTAGCTGCTTTCTACGTATGACGTGTAGTTTCTAAGCTTCGTTGTCTGAAATCGAGACGCTGTTACCGTACATGTGATCTCGTAAACAGAACGATGCATTGTAACATAGTTTCGGAATCGTTCGCGTCGGGATTTCTGTTTCTCACCTGGAATAATAATGTGCCGTCAAAATTGCTTACGTAAGTTTTATAAAACGAAGTGACACGGTGTTGATGTGTATTGCCCCAAATAACGCAGCTATACATCACCTGATCAACTTCTTTTGTGCTATAGGTACAAAAACAAAAGTACTGCACAATACGAAGACTCACAAACAGCACATCCTATTTTGCACCTTCATACGTCTTCTCAAAGCGCTTTTGAACGTCAGATCGTGCCAGTTAAAAGAAGTTTTCAAAGGCCAAGCTGTGGCCCACACCAATACCGCTGTATGTCGCTGATAGAGTCTGAAAAAAGGAAGCGTCTCAAATGTCAATAATGCGAAAACAAATTCGCAAACGAGGCCGAATGTCGCATGCTTAGCTATATACTGCCGAGAAAAATAGTTAGGCCTGATTCAGGAGCGTTACACTAACATAACTCTCACAATAGTTCGCAGAACCAGGCGCAGATCGACCGCCTGATGTTTAGTGGGATCCCCCTGAGTGGGTAGGTGCCTATCATTTAGGAAGCATCATCATCATCATCAATCACTGATACGTGGCTCGAGCAACCGCAGCTTATCTGGCAAGCAAGGCTTAATAAGACCTGTTCTGCTTTACGCGCTCAGCAAAGACACAACCACACGAGACGCTAGCTAGCAAGGGACTGTTTATTGATGGCTGCCGCGCCGCGCGCGCGCCCTCTCTCAAGGTGGCCAGGTGAGGTGGGATCATCCCGATTTATTAAGCGGTGGCCCGCCTGGTACATCCTCCTTTTTCTTTAGGTGATGTAGTCGGCAAAGCGCGTCGGTGCTCTACGTGGCCTAGTTGATCTTCTGAGACTCGAGTCGGCTGCTTCTTGTGCCTGGCAAGTGACCTTATGCTGGGACGGGACCACGTCGGGGTCCCTTGATGGTTGACTTGCAATGGGTGGTGCACGTGCAGCTGACTGGTTCAGTAGAGCATCCGATGCAGGCGCCTGTTGTGACGGATGTCGTTCCTTTCGTGATGCGGATGCTGTTGTCAAATCGGGCGCTGTATCTGATGTTGAATGTTGTCTATGCTGTATAGGCGACGGGATTATCGGTGCGAGATCCTTGTCATCCAGTGGGTCTAAGTGTCCGGGCGTCCTTTTTAGATGCTGACGATTCCTTCGATAACGCCGGCCTTCATCTGTACAGACTATGTAAGATCTAGGGCCAGCAAGTTTCTCTACTCGGGCTTTCGGAAACCACCCCTTGTCGTTTCTTATTCTGACGACGTCCCCTTCGGAGAGAGGTGTGAGAGGTATGCCTTTGCCGTGATCCTGTGGATGTTTCCGCACTGACGATGTCGAAGCCGATGAGAAGTCTGGAAGTCGTCCCCGAAGCATCCGTCCCATAAGGAGCTGACTTGGTGTGCGTCCGTCTATCAGGGGCGAGATTCGATAATTGAGCAGTGCAACCCAGAACTCCTCGCCAGCGTACTCACTTTTCTTCAAGAGGCGCTTTACGACCTGTACCCCTTTCTCAGCTAGACCATTGGCCCTGGGGAAGTGTGGACTGGATATGGTATGAGTAAAATCGTATTTTACTGCAAACTGTCTAAACTCTCGCGATGTGAACTGTGGTCCTCCATCGGTACAGACTTCAATGGGTATACCGTGGCGAGCAAACATGGTCCCTAGTGTGTCCACTACGACCTGACTTGTTGACTGAGGCAACTGTTCCACTTCTGGGTAGTTGGAGTAGGCACAGTACGCAACCAGGTAACGCTTGCCCCCATGGTCAAATAGATCGACACCAATTCGCTGCCATGGCCGCGTTGGGATTTCCCTCGATAACAGTGGCTCTGAAGGTTGCCGGTAGGCAAAGTGCTGACATGTGGCACACTTGCTAATGAGTGACTTGATGTCAGCATTCATCCCAGGCCAGTACATCAGAAGGCGTGCTCTGGCTTTGCACTTGCTCATTCCCAAATGGCCTTCATGAAGACGTTGCAGCATGGATCGCCTCAGACTCTTTGGGATTACCACCCTGCTGCCCCGCAAAAGCACTCCATCAACATATGACAGTTCTGACAAACATGGAGCTAGTTCGCCTGAGACTGGTCGTCCTTCCTGGAGTGCCTCCACCACTTGCTTGAGGTATGGGTCCGCCAGGATTGCAGAGGTCAGTTCAGTCTTCGTGTTCTCACTTACCATCTGTTAGCAGAGTAAGGGTTGTTTTCTTCATTCCTCCGCTAATGTAAAAACGTGTGTCGGTGCGTGAAACTGGCAAGCATTTTTGAGGCAGCGAGAGTTGCTCTTTTTGACTCGGTACGTCGTACATTCAGTGCGGGTGTCAGCGTGTGACGAACCGCGACCAATCTCGGGCTGTTCCACTGGCGGTGTCCTATGCGATCTTTAGAATGCTAATACGGAAGCTTCAGGGGAGCGCTTGAAGCTATTATTAAGCTGGTGGCGCAGGCTGTCAAGAATGCACCTAAGTAGCAGTGAGGGTAACAACTACAGATATGGGACGATTTCCACGAATTCACGCGAGGTGAACGAAACTAAATAAAACCGCGTGGCCCGTGAAGTAAATCCTACTCCTGAAGTCACCATTATTGCTTGCACATAAGCGGATTCAAGAGCACCGAATGCAGGTTGAAAACTGAATGTGTATATCCGTGTCTTATGGCACTTTTCGTTTGTACGCGGCCTGCTAAAATGCGGTGGTGTGCCCAACTGTATGTGTTGAGTTTCTCCCAAACGGGCTATTTCGAGACATGGCCATGCAGATTTGTCATGTATCTATTCTCGAAGGGCCACTACTACTTTATTATAAAGTAGTGCTCTTTCTAGACTCTCGCCAGACCTTGAAATGCTGGATGCCATTGTGCTGTGCGATATGTCAGTGCGTGTTAAACAATACCAGATGGCTGGAATTTCTGAAGGCCTCTATTAGAGGGCGTTCCCGATAATCATATCGTGGTTATGACACGCAGAACCCCAGATATTATTATTATTATTATTATTATTATTATTATTATTATTATTATTATTATTATTATTATTATTGCTAGCTCGTGTGGGGTGACTAAGCGTTATCGTGGACTGTGCTCATCACATCACGCAATGTTGCACATCATTTTGTTTTCTGATCTAGATAACCAATTTACAGAGCCGAGGAGACGTACGACGTGCATTTGATGGTGCACGGTGTGCCCGAAAAGAGACTGTGTGCATGCGGTGGTGTGTGTGCGTTAAAGCCGTTCTCTTTCGGCGTGGCTGTCTCGCCTCCCGGACTGCGGACGCTGCTATTCTCGGCGGGGAGAAGCGCAGCGCCTCGCTTCTCTCTCTTTTGTTTGAATCCCTTCGCTGCTCGGCTTCTCTGCATACGGTCGCCATGGAGGCCAGCGTGCAGAGCTTGCTCATCGCGTGCTATAGGCGCTCTGCACACCGCGTGTCGAAGAAAGGGCAGGAAGGGGATCACCGGGCCTCTTTGGTTAGCATGGAGGTGCTATTTAGTGATATCAGAGTATATACATGTAGGCGGCTCTGTATCGAAGTACCTGATAGTGTCCTCCAACTGAAAATTGCTGTGGTTTATAGCATTTTGAGTGTTATTGATAATACATTTTCTTGATGAATATGCTCTACATTGCCACGTAACAGGCAGTCGGGACCCTTGCGAAGCCGCTCGTGCGGCTTATCATTACGTCCCGTCGCCTCCTTTTTTTTTTTGACGAAGGAAAAAAAAAAACAGTAAAGATGATGATCATTATTATTTGGTTTTCGCGATGTGGAATAGTACACAGTTTCGCGTACTCATTGAAATTTCTCTCGCTCACATGGAAGAGAAATGTTGAATATCGCAATTGGTGTACACTGCTGACTGCGGCTTCAGTTTTGAACGGAGGGCGACATATTTGTCAGCCGGTGCCCTTCGATTTCGACATACCACACTAGCCAAATGGGTCCATTTATCGTGAAATTCCTCTCTGTTTCCCCCTTGAGGTCTGAGATGAACTGGGGCCGCAGGATCTGCTGCCTGTTTTCCGCTTGACGGGTAATACACGATGGCCTAATTGTGTATAGCGTCGTGCGTATACGTTCGTTGGAATTTTTTTCCTCTATGGGCTGGCGAGTCCGCTAGGTTCTACTACGCTAAGCGCAGCCAAAGCGCTCTCTCTGGACCTCGGCGTCTTCTGAATACTTGGCCCGTGGTCCCGAAGGGTGGAAAGTCTGCTGCGGTGGCGCTGCTTACTACCCAAAAGTGCGCAGGCACCCTTTTCTTTTTTTCACTTTCTCTCATCATCTCTGGCTTTCAAGAGACTGCAGGCGTCTTGCGGTGATGGAAAGAAAGGGGGGGGGGGGGAGAGAGTGGGACGAGGCTCTCTCGCTTAATCTTTTTTTCTTTCTCTCTCAAGGGCTGCGCCTCGGAGTTCTCGCCCGAGCCGGGGCCCCGGTTCTTTTTCTGGTGAGAGCCGGCTTGGGCAGCTCGGGTGGAGAGCTCGTCGTTTCCTCGCGTTAGGACGTCCCGTAGAGACCTGCCTGTGTTGTGTGCGCGTAGTACTGTAGACCCCTCAGCAGCATCAAGTTCGAAGGCTGTGTTTTCTTATTCACGTCGTCGTCACTTATACCTGCATCGCCTACAGACGTCGCCCGATCGTCTTTCTTCGTGTTACTTCTTTCCTTCCTCCTGTTTCCAACCAGTGAGCTGCAGTGGTGTCCGATGAGGCAGGTGTCTTTTTATTTTTTTTTTCGGCGTATACGTCTTGAGAACACGAGACTCGCGCGGTCGGTCGGTCCCGTGTGCACATGAGCTGGCCGTCAACGGTGTTTGCCGCTTTTTCCTCGCGCCTGCCAGGCTGCTCTCGGTGCACATATACGTTATGACGTGATGTTTGTACGTGTCAGTGTTCTCTTCGCCTCATCGTCTGTAAGCGCTTAGTCGGTTGAGCGCCGTCTCGCATCTTGTTGCAGTTAGAGGCCCGCCCTTCGAAAGCCTCGCGAATGTGGTTCTGGCTCTGGAGGAACAACCAAAAATTGCCACCTTTATAGTTTATGCATCATTATCACTGAACTTCGTTCTCTGAAGGGTTGGTTTGTGCGTCTGTCGGATTTATTACTCTGAACACCTGATTCGGTCGAGTTCGCGTATGAAGGTGTGAATGAACGCAGTATCGATTGCTAATGTGTCCGCCCCAGCGTCCACATTACATAACGGTAATGTACCGTGCGCGGAGCTTATGGCTACAGTGGGGCGTAATAGATTCTTTTGAACGCTCGCACTGCACGAAGGAACGTGCACAGAAGAAATGGCGTCATGTGGTGCGGTTATCCGTGCATATACTGTTGTGGCTTTCGACGCTTTAGCGCTTCGATGCGTTCTGACGCTCGTTGTTCTCTTCCTTCCTATTTCGCAGAGAGATGGAGAAGAGCGTCCCCCAGGGCTTTCTCACTGAGGCCACGGCTCCGGTCAAAGTCACGGTGAGGACCGACAACGTCGCCGACCACTACAACGTCGAGCCCCGGCCCTTCGCAAGGTGCGTACCACGCTGTGGCCTGTCATTATTGCTTACGTATATGCTTGGTATTCACGTCCGCACCTTAAGCTTGCTTACCTATTTAATAATTGATTATCGTTGTATTAAGACATACTGATTCGTAACTACACTAGCTCTTGACGATAGTCTTGAACCTCACCATGAAGCTAGGCAGGGAGATAGACTTTTCTTTTTATTTTTGAAGGGAAAGGGTTACAGGATGGAGAGGGGTAGCTATAGGTTGCTACACATGCCAGTTTGCAGCCTTATCTGCTAACCCATAGATGGCCTCCTGGGCTCTTGGCTTCATGCTGTGCAAGGCAGCCTCCCACTTCTTTTCAGTATTTAATACTTAAATTTAATATCGACAAAGAAAACTTGCAAAGTAGTACGAATAACTATAATGGTGACGCCGTAGAACTTCGTCAGCAGTATACACGGCGCTCTTTACATACAGCGTCCTCTTTCTCTTTACAAAAGAGACGTCATCGTCACCCAATTCGTCCGTGTGTGTCGATACACACACTCGACACGTTGGCGTCCTTGGGAAACGCGCATGTTTCTTCAGCGCGGTTATTCCTCTGATTGATCGCATGGGGGACGTTCTCGGCAACTATAGCATCCATAGATGCGTCAGTCGCAGAGCTAGATAGAACTACAGCGCGCGCGCGCTCGATCAAAACTCGTTACCTGTGTCTTTCCGTCACGTGCGAGGCATCAGTTAAGCTGCGTACGGTTGGCTCTGATCTCTCCTATGTACCATCGTTGGCGCGCGTGTGCACAAGGCCGCCGGCCGATAGCGCGGGGTGTTCCGAAAGTGCGCCAACGGGTTCGCCCACACATCCCGCTGTGCGCCTCGATCCATGGTGTGCGTGTGTCTCTTCTCTGTGGTGGATATACATGTACACATACAGACACTCACGTGAGCGGGGCGAATTTGCTGCGCTCAGCATGCGCGAAGTGGCGCGTTTTCGTCGGTTATAATATATACAACACGCTCATAACGCGCGCTTTCCGCCGTCGACGGTCCCACGGATGAGCGCGTTATAAACCCGACAAACCAGACCGTTCTGCGCATGCGTCACTCAGCGTGTGGCCTGTGTATGCACTGCATAAGCAGCGACGGGGAGCCCATCCACGGGTCGAAGCTGTCACGTGCGACCCCGTTCGATTCAAGCTGCACATGCGCTTCCTTCGTGAGTTTGCGTTGTTAGCGCGCGTGCTTGTCTGAGATAGAGACGCGCGTACATTGTGCACCGTTACTATGCGTTTCTTACAGACACCGTGCTTACAGTATATACGGCGGCTGCTCGCCGAATTCGCTCGTGCTTATTTCTTCGCCCTCGCCGTTGTGCTTGCTGGCTGCGCAAGAAACGGCAACAGTCCGGCCTTGCTGGCTGCCCCGGATGCGAACAAAAACGCGTGCTCCGGCCCAGCGCGTGCACTGCGAATAAATAAACTGTTTAATTTCGGCGATTTCGCGGCCACCGCGAAGAGGCGGAAGTGTGTTTATGCTTTTCCGCGCGGGGGTTTGCGAGAAAAACGCGCGCTGTTTCGAGGAACATAAGATGAAAAAAATTTTTTTTCACAATGTGGCCGCCGGAAACGTTCTGCTCAGCGCGTATAGGGCATGACTGTAGTGTATCGGGGCCTTGCGAGCTTGCTTGCACTTGGCAGTGATTCATGGATACAGGCCGTTGAACTGCTGTTTACTCGAGGCACAGTTTTCCTTTCTTCTGGCCTTCAAGTTTGTTGGCTTTGGCCTGTGCCTTCAGGTCGAGGAATAAAGAGAAGCATAACGCGACTCTTGTTGCATATTCATATTTCCGGAAGCCTTATCGAAGTTAACTTTAGGATCCTTTTTATTGCGCTGTTGCGTATCTAAGTTATCGAACCGGGTCGCTCAAGTGAAGTCTTATTTATAATCAATTCTCATGAACATAGATTTAGGGTGCATTCACTACAACTGTGTCTGCAGTTTCGATTTCGCCGTGGCCCCCACATTAATCGGTCTACGTATATGTGCTGCTTCTGTATAGCTCTCAAAAAAACATACAAACGAGTAAACGTGGAAACTGCATGTTTATTTCTTTGTGGCGAACATTCATGCGTTTTACACAGTGGAGGTCGTGTGTTCCTCCTTCGTCTCGCGCCATTGGGACGGACGCCATTGTCTTCGACGCGCTGATCTGCATACATATGTACTCGTTCGACGAATGTGTCCGCTGAGTGTTGGCGTAGTGACGCACGTGTCTGAGTGGTGCGTGGAGTGGCGTGTCGTTTATGCGTCAGCCGTAGTGCACTCTCTCGAGGTGTTCGCCACGTAAGTTGCCCGCCGATTCGCTTCCTGCTGTTCCCTCGTCGCATATGAAGCTTCGTGCATATCCGTGTGGAAGTGCAGTAATAAAATAAACAGCAAAAAGACGGACTCGCCGGCGTCCTCGACCTTTATAGCTCGTTGCCTGAGGTGCGTCATCAGCGCTCTTATCGCGACGCAGATAAGGTCCCTTGTTTCATCTAGGGACCTTAGACGCAGAGTGTTTTAGGAAAACGCGCTCATATATAGGACGCCATATACGCGCGGCTGCGGGAACTCGAATGTCTCGCGAGCTCACGAAGAGTCACGAGGCAGTTTTATGACAGTCACAAACGACGTTAAGAACCCTCGTGTGCTCCCCTGATATGTTCGGGCCCGAAAGCCCATGCGCATGCCGCCGCAAGCTCTCCATAAAACGTGTATACACCACACGGGGATGAGGAGTTGCGCGCGATATATACTTTTGCGGCTTGTTGGCGCCGTGTGGATGTGGAAACTTTAGTGTGTATGTGTGTGTTTCGACTCGCAACGGTGGTGGTATAGGGTTGTGGTAGCGTGTGGAAACTATAGTGTGTTGGTACATCGCCGAACTTGGAGCAAACCGACACTAAAAACGACGACACGATTCCGTTTGTTTGCTTATACTCCGTGATGTTGATTTTGGCGATCGTTTCCTTTCAAGTAAAGTGAAGAGAGTTTCTTAGAAGAGCGTGGTTGTATATTATTTGGTGATTAGCGATTAGGAAACGTCTGACGACGAGGTAAGATTTGGTGGGGGGAGCGGGTAAAAACGCGTACGATAATTGAACGCGCACCAGTCTGATAGGCGATCTATGCAGGTGTGGTGCGCGCCGTTACAATGCAATTCATGCCATCTCGCTTTGTCGGATCTGTGTGGTGACGTCACTGCGCAGTTAATTGGTCTACATATGCATGTCGTGCCAACAGCTTCCTAGCCTTCGAGCACAGTGTTTTCACAGTGACCACTCGAACTAGAAAACAGAACGTCGCTGGACGGCTCTGAATGGTGTGTCCACCCCGTTTCCGTGTTGTGTTGTATGCGCCAAGCATGTCCACCATATGCAACGTGTACACGCTCGCCACAGTTCAGCCTGCCTCTTTTGATCGAAGTTGAACACCGTAGTGACAACATTTTGCCGAGACGATTCTCTCCCAATGCACTCGGAGATGAGTGGACCGCACAAGCCTTGAACTCCGCGTTTGCTGAGTGCTCTCGTTGCTGCGATGAATGCAATCTTCGACGTCTTGTAAAGCGCCGCCGGCAGCCACGAGAAAGCCAGCCACTTCAAGCGGGCGCAATGCGTTCCCAAAGCGCGTATCTCGGCCGAACTTTGCTCACCTGTTCGCACAGCGGGGTGTTTTGTAACCCTCGCGCCCCGGCACCTCAACGAGTCTCTCTCTCGGAGCAAAGGTGTTGAGGAGTGAAGACGCACGACAAGTCGTCCAGCTTAATCTGCTGTCGCGGACGTGTTGAACCCCCTGCCTTCTCGCGTGTGCTTTGTGCCGCTCGTTTATGTGTCGGCCGGCTTCGTTTGCGTTAGTCCCAATTTTCGCGGCGAGCGCAGCAGCAGTATGGGAAAGCACTGTCGTGAATGGGGTGGGCTGCTCCAGCGCTCTGTGTGATGGAAGGCGCTTATTTAATTTACCCCGCGCGCGCGTTTGTGTTTGCGCTGCCGGATTGTTACGCGCAGTTTGCTTTGCGGGACACTTTCCTTTCGCCGCCGCTGTTTGTTGTACGGGGACAGCGGGAGCTTTATGGAAGCCGCGGCAACGCTCGCGCGCCCATTGGCCGAGGAGCGGGGCGGCTTGGGAACAAACGCCGCCCTTTGTTCGAACGCGCCGCGGCGGCGCGTCTTCTCGACGCGGGAAAAACAACAAAGGAACGCCGAGTGGAAAAACAAAACGACACCGCTGCCGTCGTCGCGGCCACGGGTTTCGAAGGGAGGCTTGCGGGACACGCTTCCGGCAGCTTGCCGTTGGCCCGGGGTCGTATACCGTCCGTCCGTCTTTCCTAAACCGCGAAGTCTTCGCAGTTGCTTTAGGATGAGCCGGATGGGATCGTACAGGGGCGCGGGCAAGAAGTGGAGGAGGGTAAGGTAGGCGAAGGAGATGGTGCGCTGGGAAGGTCGACGTGACTGCTTCGCGATTCTTTTTTTCCGTCGGAAAGAAACAGAATGGGCGACGTGCGTGGGGACGTCTTTCACAGCTACATGACCTCCGCTGTTGGTATACGCCGCCTGTAGGGTGTGTGTGTGTGTGTGCGATTCCGTCGGTCTCGTCCTCGCCAACGATCGCGGCAGGCTCTGACCGGAAGTGAAGCGTTGCGATTGCCGTTGTTTTCTCTAGTCGAGCGGGTGCGCGAACAACGCTGGTCCGATGTGTGTGTGCGCGCGCGTTTTGTTTCCTCAGAAAACAGTGCGTGTTCGTTGACTCGCCGCTGTATATGAGACGCGGCGAATCCTTGGCACTTGAAGCCGCGGCTGCCGCAGCACGCCCTTGAATACGGAAGTGGCGAGCCTTGAAAAGGGCGGGCCACGTATGTGTGTGTATATGTATACGAGGCCTATAGGGCGAGCGTGTATGAGTCTCTTGACTCGTGAGATGCATGTGAGGACGATGACTCTCAGCCCGCGACCGATACCGACGGCCTTCCTACACCTTT